CCTTTTTTGGTATGCATGAATAAAAACATTGGAATAAGAGCTTCATTCTTAGGGGCTATGTATTTAAACTTTGACTGTAGTAAAATTCTTGAAATTCATGGATTTTAAGGCCAGAAGGGACTATTAGGTGATTTAATGGTCTGTAACTTGCAAAAGGTCAGGCTAAATTTCACCGTTATCTGTGTTTTTCTGAAGCGTAACTAGGGTCTAGCTAAATCATACTTTCTAGAAAAGCACCAGTCTTGATTTGACATAAAGAGATGAATGATTCACTGAACTTGCATGCAAAAGCAGTGCTAAAATATTATTTTAGCTGTTTGTTTCTTACTTTGAATCCTTTTGCTAGGTAAGCTCAGGCAGTTCTGCATGCAGGTATCTGCCTATCAATACGGTGTATCAACAGTTATGCTGCTTGCTTGGCAAGAGTGACGCTCCTTGGGAATAAAAAATAAAAACAAGTGTAGCTGGTATGAGTTACTGCTGCTATATGGCAAATATGTATGTCTTTAAATTTCTGCTACCTGGATTCGTGCCAAGTATTTCTTACTTATATTAAATCTTAACTGCTATTAATGCATGCCACATGACAACTTATTCCTGCAAACAAGAAAATTTGTCATACAATGTGAAAATACAGCATACTTTCCAAAGCTTGGACACCTGCATTTAGTGGTTATATATAGACCAGAAATTCACGGTTTGCTTTCAGGTGCAATTTGAGGGCTGATGATCTGAGCTGATGAAAATCTGTGAGGTTGGGGATTACACCCCATTTGTTCATGTTCCATATATTCAAGGCAAACCGACAGGCTAAACGTAGCTGCAGACTAAGTTTTGTAAAACTGATTTTTCCATAATGTACTGTTCCAGGACCTCCTTGTTTTAAATTGTGTCTTAATGGGGTTTCTCACGCCACTGTCTTTAAGGTAGTGGCGCAGCATTTGCAGGCCAAGCGGGACAGCAGCGGCAGTGCGGTGCTCGGTGTCTGACACTGACATCGACTTCATTTTTCTCAGTTTACTCAGTGAAATGTACCAGCTACCAAAATGGTGAAAAATGAGATTCTTAAAAATTGTCAACCTCAATATCCTAAGTTATTACTCAAGATGTAAACACAGGGCTTTTATTTTAGGAAAATTCATAGACATTTAACCTGATAGTGTCATAAACCATTGACCCGGTATCCTGTGACATATTTCAAATATTGCAGACTAGCATCTCCTTTGGCAACTCTGATAAAGCGTTTCATGATGTGACGTGCATTTCACTTCAGCCTAGTTTCTGTTACCATGGAAAAAGTTCTGAGGTCTTTGTAGCAGAGACAACTTCTTGGGGCTGAGTCACACAAATACAATGTTTTCAACCTGCTTTCTTGCATTAGTTTCAAAGTATAGAGTACCACATGTATCGCAATACCCGTTCAGTTAATCTTTGCCTTCCTTGTTAACTGACACGGTGACCTACCATTGACAAAGCTGTCAGCACTTTGGTTAATACTTAAAATCTTCAGCAGCTCTTCTTTCAAACTCTGTTTTACAGTGTTTGTCTCCATTTCATAATTACAGAAAACTGAATTAATGGTATTTCTGGAAAAGATGTACATGCCACTTCAGAATTGCATAGAGGCTAATTTTTCTTCCAAAACAAGTTGATCAAGGATTTGAGACTGATTTATAAGTGAATTTTTCAGCCGAGGAACTATTCTGTCTTCTTGAATCTCTCTGCTGCTTTGAAGAATACTCCAACAACTAAGCTGTTCTCTTATAAGACAAACTGTGCCACCACGTCCTTTATCTCCAGACCTGCTTTGGATCCCTGGCCTCAGAAGATTGCAAGCTCTGGATCCTCGCTGGGAGGGAGGCATGGAGGCAACCCTGAGTCAAGGATCTATGCTCTGGGGAGGAGTGGTGTTTAGGCAAACCCCCGGGCTTAATGTCTTCTACAGAGAGCTGCAGGCTCAGTTGTGCGTTCAGCCTACTTTGCGGCTGCTCCTGCTGTATGAGTGTTTTCCTCCCCTCACGTATTTTGGAGTCTTACTGACCCACTGCAGCCAAATGTGAGAGTGAGATGGGGTAACTGCAAGTATTAGAGGAAGGAGACCCAGAACAAGGCCCTCGTGCTGCCAGGAGCTCGTTGATTTTGACCTCCTGGCCAGTAAATCAAAACGCGTGAACCCATTTGCTGATCAGCACACACAGCTCTGCCGGCTGCTGTCAGCAGTGAAAGGGCTTGGAAGGGAGAGGGGGTACTTGCAGGTAGGTGGGGCTGGGGGAAAGGACGTCGTTATCTGGGACAGGACCTTGATTCTCTTTGCATGGATGAAGAGGAAGAAAGTTTTTTTAAAAAACAGTTACACAACCCAAGAGCTAGAAGAATTGTCTGTTTTTCCTGTGCCACAAAACTCCTTCTGCCCTCATCTGTATGCACACAAAAACATAGTTCCAACCACAAAATTACAGCTGTATAGAAAATAGACAATTATCAGGGTTTTTTACCATGTTTCTGTGATGACATCAGACTTATGTCACACGAACTTCAAGAACAGCTGGAAGTGAACCTGAAGTACCTGAACTTCAAGAACAGCTGGAAGTGAACCTGAAGTATCATGAGGATAAAGAAAGAGAAACAGATGCTTGTTTAAAACTCACATGCATTCATTCATGTGCAGGTGAACACTAGAGCTGTATTACAACAGAACTGAAGACCTGCTTACTCTATGGATTTTTATTGCCCGTGTTTTGTTTCACAAGCGACATATTCATAAGCCCTTCCATACAAAAATATGCTTTCAGAAACCTGCCTGTATAGAGCAATTTTCAGTAGCGACCTAGAAGGAGGAACGAAACATTAAGGTATTAATGACCCATGGAAAATGAGAAAATATGAAACACATTTGCCTTGATCCAATAGAAGCTTTGCAGAGTCATTAGCCCGTGTTTTGTTTCACAAGCGACATATTCATAAGCCCTTCCATACAAAAATATGCTTTCAGAAACCTGCCTGTATAGAGCAATTTTCAGTAGCGACCTAGAAGGAGGAACGAAACATTAAGGTATTAATGACCCATGGAAAATGAGAAAATATGAAACACATTTGCCTTGATCCAATAGAAGCTTTGCAGAGTCATTATTCCTCAAGTTATAGGGCCGTCCAAGTCCCTTACATGCTCACGTGCATTTTTCTTTCCCTGGAAGTTTCCCGTTGTCTCAGCGCTTTGAATCGCATGGGCTGCTCTGAACTAGCGGTCCTCATTCTTCATGTAGAGCATGGCCAGCTAGTGCTAGCGGGCAGTGAAGACAGCTTCTCTATTTATCCTCCGCCACTCAGGACAGTGCTCGCTGGATACCAGTATAGAAATCATGCGTAGGAACACACCGAGTAAAAATAGAAGGACTTACAGGTGTACAAGTAAGCAGCTATATCATATTTAAAGCATTGCCTTTAGTCTTCCGTCCTGCTTTTGTCTCCCTGTTCAAAGAACTGTACCTAAGTGATGGGAGGAGAACTGGTGCATCAGTGCTTTCCGTGGATAATTCTCAATATAAATTTCTACTCCTTATTTGTGGGAGTACGTTGATAAATCCAAAGGAGAGGCATGGCTGTAGGCAATGAGGTTTAAGGCAGGAAAAGAACAAGAGAGGAGAACGTGTTCCAGAGAACGTTTTGATCCAGTTGAACTCAAAGGAAAAAAAGCAACGCTCGGCAAGCTCAGCAGCGCTGCGGCGGTGCGCTCGTCAGTCCCACGAGGTCGGCCTCGGGATGATGCTGTGTCTCTAGTTTCTGCGGACTCCCACATTTCCATTCCTGCCATTTGAGCAGTTTTCTCTTTAGCAGCATCCCTTTTCTCCTTGCTCCATAGTTAGTGAGGCACTGGAAAGGGCAACTCTTTGCCACTTGGTAGTTAGTGTAGCCTAACTACACTTCTAGAAAGCTTCGAGAAAACAGATTAATTTTAAATTTTGTTACAAAAATACTTCATTGCATAGGCTGTATTAGAAGAAGTGTCTCAGATGTTTGATATTTAAAACATAGTGATTGATTTGAATTGCCTAAATTTATTATTTTTAGTGATTTATTCATTTATTATGCTCTTTTATGGTGTTAGTGAATTTAATTTATTTTCCTAGTCACTGTATCCTTCAAGATTTTAGATTAGTAGTTCTCATCCAGACTTGCATCTAAGGAAAAAAAAAAAGAGATTTTTTTGCCCGTTTCTAATTTCCACTCAGTTTCTCAGCATTTGAGTGATCACCATTGAACGCACTGAGCAGAAGCAGCTGCTATGGGGGCATATTCCTAGAGAGCTGTGGTGGAAGTGGTTGATTCTATCAAAAAGTGGTTTTCCACTTCAGCAAAACAGTGGTTTGACTTTTTTTAGAAATTAAGCAACAAATTTGTACTGCATCCTTACTTGCTGTTTTTCTTTTTAAAAAGATTAGATTGATGTCTCTGTAAAAGTTTTCCATTTCAAACTTTATTTTAAAATGTATGCAAACTGAAATAGCCAATTCCAATAAAAATTCTCATTTGGATTTTGTCATGTTTTCTTTTAAAACCATCATTTTTTATCCACTCTGTTCAGGTTTTTAGAGACAATTCAAACTTCATAAGTCCCGAGTAACTGGTTTCTAACCATTTTAATAAAGCTGGTAAGTATCTTACACAATTACCGGGTGCTTGGGTTCATAACTAATTTTAGCATTCATAGGCAAGGTCTCTTTCTAGCTATGCGTAACATTCTTGTCAAATGGTAGCATTTTGCTCTTTCATCCATTTTAGAATAAATCTCATTTCTTACATCCTCACTGAAGCAAACCCTGAAAAGGAGAATAGATTTGCCATGTACTATATAATTCTTTCATCTGCTCTATGTTTTATCTGTTTTACCAGGCTATTTAAAAGCCTGCCATTTTAGCATCTGAGACATACGTGTTTGCGTGTGTGTGTTTGTATATAAAGATGTATTGATACGGATGTTCTCGTGTCTTATCTGTAGGATACATCACTGGCTGAGGTAAACTCATTCAGTCCTTCAATGCCAATATCCCCCTCATCCATGATAAACCAGTATAAATTTGAAGATGAACCAGAACTAAGAGATCTCTTCATTACAGTTGATGATCCTGAAAGCCACATTACAGCCATTGAAACATTTATTACATACAGAGTAGTCACAAAGGTAAGCACCTACTCACGGTTATAACGGCTTCCATTGATATCAGCAGTAGCGTTTTCACTCTTCTTGCATACCATTCTCTGGGGTATTCCTAAATTTAAATTATACTCTGGTTTTGCCATGAGTTATAGACCACTAAAACTGTATGAAACTGTGCAGTAGATGCTGAAAAAAACCCTCAGTGTAAGTCTACGCACATAGGTGCTTAGGTTTTTTATGCTGAGAAAATGGCTAATAATTCTTCAACAGCCAAGTCAGTTCTATATGAGAATAACATTTGCTATTGTGATCTTCAGCAGGAACACGAAACAGCAGAAGGACTGATTCAGTTCGAAGAGACTCTATTAGCCCAAGTATTTATGACTTTTGGATCACTTGCAGGCTAGCAGTCTTTTGTCTTGCGTAAATGTTACCTGCTACAAAGTCTTTCAATTCCATTCGTCTGTAATTACAGCATCCACTATCACATGGATATTTGTTTCCCATTTACAGTTGCGTATGATTTCTGGGGAAACTGCCACAATTCTCCAATGAAAAAGTAATATTAGGAAACAGCTAAGTGTATTTTTGGCTGTCCTGAATACAAATTATTTACTGGAAATAAGGAAGAAAGTCAGCCTTGTGAGACTAGCCAGCTCTTCTGGGATTACCAGCAAATATTCTGCAGGCTGCATTTTGAGAATTGCACTGTTAATTTATTTTACTTTGAGTTCTTCTTAAAAGATTCATTTAAAACCAAATTTTCAAATGGGAATTATTCATCCTTAAATAAGAGGAGATATCAATTCCTCATAAAATATTTAAAGAGTAGGAAGAGAGCTATCTTCGTTAGGTTGCTAGCAATAATTTTCACTTTATGCATGTTTTTGCAGACGAGAGAACATATTTTCTTCAGGCAAGTATGGAAGGGCTGGAAGGTGGATTGCTTTTGCTTTTTTATCTACTCTATCCTTTCTTATTGTATTTAATTTGAAGTGCTGGTTGTTGATGATAAAGTAATAGCATTCCTCCCACATCCCTTGAAAAATTTTTTTTCAACCCTCAAAAACGTTTAGATTACAAAAGCGTGTTTTGAGGTTTTTAGAATTTACTTGCATCGCATTATAAATCTCTGTGCAACAATGAATGCTAAAACAGCACGCATTACTTCAATGAAAACACGGGCTCTTTGTGGCTTGATTCTAGAAGATAGAGCGGTGATAAAATAAATCTCATGGTCTGACAATTTTGCAACACTGTAATAAGCATTTTTTCTAGGCATTAAAGGTTTGTTGGCAAGTTCTAACAAAGGGCTACCAAACTGGAATTGATGATGGAACGCAGAATCCATTAAGCAGCGCGGGAAGTGTTATTGCTATGATGTGCTGAAGTTTTCATGTTTCGAATGTGGGGATTGTTGACGAGTGTCAGCAGGTCCCAAGGACGTATGTCAGCTCTTTGGGGTTTTTTTCAGAATGCTAAAAAATGGACTTTCCTCACTCGTAGATTACTAATCACTTTAAAAGAAGTGCCCTAAAAGTAACGAACATAACCGTGATTGCTAAAAGGAGAATGCCACACTAAAATAATGCTTGAAATCTTTTGGAAACGTTGTGGTAGGCTAATTATTGTAAGTCACTCTGTGTGCAGTTTGGTGCTTGCTTTTCCTTTTTTTTTTTTTTTTACAATAGAACTTTGATTTCCTGCTAAAATGGGTGTGTTTTATCTCTTCAAGTAGTTGGTCATCGCACTTTAAAAAACAGCAAGCAAATAACACGGGCAAAATAGGATCATGTATGCACTCCCTTCAAGTACTCAGTTTTCTCCAAAATCTAATGCTGTTCCGTTCTTTTTTTCTGGTATTCTAACCTGGGCCTGTTTGTTCCGCCTCTGGTTTTCAGACATCTCGTGGTGAATTTGACTCCAGTGAATATGAAGTTCGAAGGCGATATCAGGATTTCCTGTGGTTGAAGAGCAAACTTGAAGAAGCGCATCCAACACTGATTATTCCTGTTCGTTTGCTAAAACTTAAGTTATTTTTATTTGTTTATAAGATGGCTCCAGTTTTATACAGAGATGTTTGAGGTCTTTCTTCGGTTTCTGAAATCTCACAAACGTTAAACCGACTTAGTTTAATTAGCTTTATACATACGTGATAATTAAAAATCCCATAAAGGTATTTCTTATGTTTGCAGTTGTGCCATTTGCAGTAATTTATGTCCTTCTTTCTTAGTTGTACTTGTATTCTTCTGCACTGAGTGCTACAAGAACCACGTTATACCACTGTTGAATGTGATAACTTTTAACAATTTGGTTTTTGCATGGTGGGTTCTACAAGGTATACCTATAGTTTTTAGTAAGTAGAAGAACTATTATAATACCCTTAATACTATGCAAATTATACAACATATTTTTTCTTTTTTCCTTAGCCATTGCCTGAAAAATTCATAATGAAAGGAATGGTGGAACGATTTAGTGATGAATTCATTGAGACTCGAAGAAAAGCTTTACATAAATTTTTGAACCGTATTGCTGATCATCCAACTTTAACTTTTAATGAAGACTTCAAAATTTTTCTTACTGCACAGGCCTGGGTAAAATGACTTTATTTTTATTTACAGTTATGTGAAACCACGTCTTGTGTTAGTAGAGTGTGTCAGGAGTCTCCTAGTTCAGTATTCAATAGTGTCCTCCCATGGCGTGTTACAGAAGTGTCAGAAGGCAGCAGGGGATTTATGGAATATTCATCCCCCGAGATAACCTTTTCTTCTGTGCTTTTGGTAATCGTGTGTGGCCGTAAATTTTGCTGTAACTTCCAAAGCAGTTTTTGTTGCTGCATTTTGGATTTTTGTGGCAAATTCACAATATTTCAACTCTGCATGCTTTTTGGTATACGTATAAGCTTCCAAGATGATATGAAAAGTAGTATTTTAAATTAATTATTGTTTTGGCATGGCACTGTCTTTTTCATCTGCTTTTTTTTAAAAGTTATACTAGTCTCATAAAAGGAAAATACAGCCTTTGAATTTCCTGTTGCATTTTTGCAAGATGAGTCCAGTTGAAAATTGGAGTTTTGTACTTGGAAAAGCCTGCCTCCGAACTTCAGCAAAGGTTGTTCCAGCAACGTATAAAAAGAGTTAAAAAAAAAAAAAGATGGATTACTTCTTCCAGCAGGAGCGTTGTTTGCTTTTTCTCAATGACTTATTTCCGCAATCATTGCCTCTGCTTTCCTGTGCAAAAGGCTAAAATGCAAACTAGCTAACTCACCCTAAGGAATGAAAGGGTAAAGGTTCTCTGCCATCTTCAATCACTCTTGTGAGAGCGTGATACACGGCATGCTTCTGTTTGCCCAGAAAGGCTTAGCTAATGCACATGACGGGTACGGTTCTGACACTGGTCTAATAATTTTAAAGTAGGATTTATACGCTAGAAAGACACACAGAGCCTTAGGTATGTAGTTTTGTTTAAAAAAAAAAAAAGCTTTAATGTATGCATTATTTTCAGAGAATTTTAAAAAGTACATGGAAGTAAACATGGCTTGTTCTGTCTATAGGAACTCTCCTCGCACAAGAAGCAGGGTCCCGGTTTGCTGAGCAGGATGGGACAGACGGTCAGAGCTGTAGCATCCTCAGTAAGAGGGGGAGTTAAAAATCGTCCTGAAATATTTACAGAAATGAACAATTACATGGAAACATTTAGTCAGAAAATAAACGTGCTAGACAAAATAGCTCATAGAATTTACAAGGAAGAAAGGGGTAAGTAGAAAATAAGCATCAGTTTTATTGATTGAAGAAATTAATATATTGGAAAAGTAAATTAGTTTTCATTGTGCCAGGCAAAATACTCTTTCCAGCAAGCAGGGGAATAGGGAGATTCGTGTTTATACTGTGCTTTTCATAATGGTCATTGTTTTGGCAGACCTTCAAGTTAGTTTGAATAACTTGTTAATAGGAAAAGTTTTAACATGTCACTGAACTACTTGGTAAGGAACTTAGAAAGAAGAAAACGTAGCAAGTATGGCTATCTTCTTACTTGTGCTTTTTGGAAAGCCGCGTGACCTTTTGTTTTGTACTTTCAATGGAATGTAAATAGTCACCATTTTCTGTGCTGTCTGGGACTGGCATAATGCTGTCTAGATTCCAGATCTCTTTTTTGGTTTCATTCTGCACCTTTTTTCTGTGTTAACCAAGTAGATTTTATTTTTTTTTAACAGCTTTACTGCTGGCCATAATTTCTGTCATGGGAAACTGTGCCTGTTAGAGTTTTCTTAAGAAGGATGACTTAATCTCAATTTTTTCCTTAAGTAACAGCAGTTTGAACACCTACTTGGAACGCTAAATTACTGACTTTCTGAGATTGACCCTGATCTCAGACTAGGCCTGTTCAGTAGAATTTCCACTGGTCAGCACTTGAGGGATTTTAATGTCTATATAATATAATTTGAAGAGCTGCACTGTGTTCTTTAATAATTGAGCCCTTGTGCTTTATTGTGCAGTACCAGATCTCAGCGTGTCCTCACTAAATTGGAGGGGTCTTATAAAAGGGAAATACACGTTGGTGAAAAGAGTTCCTTTTGATATCGTTCATTTCAGTGGAAATAGCTGGCTGAGGTCTGTAGGTTCAAGGTACCAGTGCCAAAATATTTCTTGGAAAACCTTATGAATTTTGACGTGCTCCCAAATGCTGCAGGTTATATCTTCTTTCTAGATTTTCCAAACAGCACTTGGCAGAACGCTGTCTGCCAAGAACGTGCAGGGCCACGCTGTCGGATTTTCCAAACAGCACTTGGCAGAACGCTTGTGTGCAGGGCCACGCTGTCATGGATGTGAACTGTTGATAGCTGTGACTCAGAGAACATTCCTGCTTGCAGTAGCTTAACATGGGATTCTTAATTATATCCTCCATGGAGTTTTTTTTGTCCAATTAATCTCAAAGTAAACATTACACTCTTCATGGCACATGTCTGCTTTGCATCTTTTCTTGGACGTTTCTTCATTATAAATTCAGTTGTGATGAAATTGTGTTTTCAATACATGACCAATGTGTTCACGGTACCCTCCTGTGAACATGCAGCTTCCAGGTCATACCCAGCCTTGCCCAACTTTAGTCCTGCCAAATGGCACAGTGAATTCTGGACCTTTTTCTTTCTGCTTACAGATTATCACTTGGCCTAGAGACATAAGAGACAATTAATAGGATATCCATGTATTTAGATTAATAAAAACTACTAAAGGAGATGAGATAACACCTGCAGAACTGGAGTGAACTTCAGTGTGTCTTCTGCAGCTTCTGGGACATACCAAGTTTTAATAATGGGATTCGGAGCATTACTGTAGCTGAAGAATTCAGGGCAGTAGAAGCAAGTCAGACCAACTGCTGCCCAGGGCTGCTGTGGCTCATGTCCCTCTGCATGAAGACAACGCGAAGTAATTCAGATCGTTGGGCGAACTGAATACAACCCACCAGGTCTAAGAGTGTATCTGTCCTTCTAAATGACTGGGGCATTTTTGCTGATAGGTTTCCAGGAACTACTTAATCACAATACATTCATTGATTAGTTTATTCATAAACAATGAACTGCAGTTTACTTATCTTGGTCATTTGAGCAAATGTAAACATTAGCCTCAGGCTCTTGCTTTGTTCACAGCAAATATGAGGTTGCAATTAGTATCACTTAGACATCTATTAATGAACAAAAGACTAATATATGTATATGTTCCTGTTAAGAGTATTTTAATGAAATGAAGGAATACGGCCCTGTCCACACACTCTGGTCAGCATCGGAAGAAGATATAGCAGACTCCCTAAAAGGTGTTGCCAGCTGCATCGACAAGTGTTGCAAGGCTACGGAGAAGCGAATGGCAGGGCTCTCAGAAAACCTGCTGCCGATTTTACATGAATACGTTCTCTACAGTGAAATCCTGATGGTAAGGTTTCCTTAAGGATTGCTTATGGCTGTATATAAAGTTTGGCTTAGTCCGGTGACAAACACTAGAAGAGAGTTTGCAACTGTTGAAAATGATTTTGCAGTCCCTCTATTTACTGTTGTTACTAAATGTGCACAGCATAGGATAGCTGTCCGTTAGCAGGGAATCCGGTTGGTCCCGTTTCCCTTGTTAATCGGGCAAGAGGCACCCCTTCCAGATGAGAAGAGCTTGATAGTTTTGCATGGCAGGCAGCCCGGCTAAAGAGTGTCTGGTTTTGCCATCTTCAGAGAGCTCTGCATTGTAGCAGAGAAGCGGGAACATAGAAAGGTTTGGGGAACGGCAGCTGAGAAGGACCTCCTCTGACACTGCTGAAATATGAACTCATCGAGTAACAGATTGTGGGGGGGAAAAGGAGTGGAGAGGTTTTTCCCTTTCTAGATGTTCCTAAACTACGTTTTCTTTTTCCAAACAGCAGGGAACTTCCAGCCCCTGTGCCATTATATAAGCACGTGTTAGTCTTTGCCGTAAGCTGATGCTCTCAGTTCCCTTTATGTACGTATTTTTCTTACACTTGGAGAGAGTGTAAAAAATCAGACTTCAGAATTGATAAACTCAGTGCTGATGGATATTCAACATAATTAAGTAACTGAATTCAGCATGTCATAATTCCAAATCTGCTGCTTCCAGAAAGCCAGAAAATGTGTACAAACCCCTCTTTGTCTAGGTTTTGAGCAATGCAAGCTGCAGTATCTGTTCTTGCCTCTCTGCTGGGAACCCAGCTCCTGCTGCAGTGGTTTCTGAGTAGGGGCTGAGGGTCTGTTACAGGCCATGGGTAGAGCGAGACCCAAGTTAACTCAGCCTTTGCTGGCGCTGTGCAGAGCGCTGCCAGTTTCTCAGTAAGGCTTAGCTACTGAGAGCTTAAGAATTACCGCTGCAATGACTGCCGTCTTTAAAACCAGCTTCACTGAAAGGGGGGGCCGTACAAAATGACCTGTATCTCACAGGCCTCATTATTTACACGTACGTGCAGGTAGATGGAGGTAGGTACTGCTTTGCTTAAAGGGCTGAGGAGATTACCATCCTAGCAATTGCAGGTCTTCTTCCTCTCCCCCACTTCCAAACTTATTTTTCAGAATTTCTAAGTCTGTTACCCATGAGCCATCCCAGCCTTCATGCTGTTGAAGAGATGCTGCCTGCCCATTGCCTTCTAGTCTGCAGCCTGGCTCACCCTTTCTCAGGTGTTCTCTTTTGTCCAGAGCACAGAGAGGTTCCTGTGGTCAAACCCCAGAGTGGCTACCTGGCTCTTCATGCACCCGTTACAAGTGGCTGTTGCCCGTTGCTTTTTTTTAGTGCTTGCAGTGTTCTTGATACTGTCCTGGTTTCGGCTGAGGTTAAACCGCGACAATGCAACACTTGCGATGCAGCATTAGGCTGTAATTCCTGTCCGGCGGAAGATCTTCCTCCAATAGCTCATTCCTGTTCTACAACTGTTCTTTTCCTTTCATTCGCCGTGGATTTTTATTTTTCCTACAGTTTACTTCCCTCTCGCAGCTTGGAGAAGGAACTACTAGTCAGAATGAAAATACAATAGGGGAAGTCACACAGTAGTAAAACCTGCTTTCAGAGGTGTGTTTAACCCCTCATCACAGGGACCTTTGTGCGGTGCCGCCAAGATCATGCGCAGATGTGCAGAAGACGGTGTGGGCAATACAATACAATCCTTGTATTTTCCAGTCTTGGGAGTTCAGCCTTAAACTGGGGCAAGAGATGAATTCATAGCTAAAATATTTACATCTGGACTGGCTCCTTCCTAACTGACTCACAGAACAAATCTGGGGAGTGCAGAGTACTGCTGCGCCTCAGGGTACAAATTGCAGCAATAAACTGGTTATGGGTCCACATCCAATTATTTGAGGGTTTTGTGGCAGGGTACCATTAAATATTGCACCAAAAAATTGTAAACGTATAATAATATGTTTTAAAAACAGTCCCTCTGTTTGCCATTAGAAGTCAGCACTTGTCTATGGTTGTAGCACATTAATATTAAAGTCATTGGTTTTCTCTTGTAATTTAAGGAGTATTTGTGATGAATTTGACAAATAGCCATTAAAACAGTTTTAAAAGAGGCAAAAGAAATAGTAAAAAAGAGAAAGCATTTGTAATATGAAGGAAAGCTGTTCCAGACATACTTGTTTTGCTTCTGTGCTTACAGCTAAACATTTTCTGTATTTGTCTAACCAAAAGATATTCTGAGCTATTCAAACATAGATTTATGAGCATTAGTATGTATTGCTAATCTATTACTCAGAATTGTCCAAAGTCAGGTTTACCAATTTTTCTAGCGAGTACCTGTTCAAAAAGAAACGTTGAACAATTATTTGAAAATTAACCTCCTAAATTATTCTATTGTATTTGTTAAAGTGACAAGATTCCAAAGAGAACTCAGTCAAATAAGACAGCTAGAGAAGGTAAAGCTACTTGTGCCCTGTGCTGTTTCAACATGCCCTATGCTAGAGGTGAATACTGAAAATCTCTTTAGTATATGCAGAAGAAGCAGTAAAACCAGTTGTGGCAAGGTAATGTAAAAGCAGGTTTTGAGATTTGTAATTATATATGTCCTGCTTTTGATTTTCTTTTTTTAAAAGGACTAAAGCCTTGCAACATTTCTGCGGGATAAGCACACTTGAGTGTGCTTTTACAGATAGGAAACTAAGGCAAAGAGAAATCTGTAAGGCTTCCTCAAGGTCACAGAGCAAATGAGCATCGGAAATGGAAATTTAATCTATAATACCGTTCCTGTTTTGTAGTTTAACAAGTAACGTTCCTTCCCCTTTCTAATTATTTTTTGACATTATGCTAAAAATCCAATACCTGATAAGACAGTATTAAAGGAGGAAATAATTACCTATGCTGAAAATAAGCACATATATCAATGTTAGAACATCTATCATTTTTATGATAATTTTATCTGATTTTACTGAACTATGCTTGGCACTTACAAAATAATATTGGAAGTTAAAGTCGCAATTTCAGTAATGCCTGGTATACCGTTTTTAGTCATTTATTCTACTTTATATTGTAACTTTTACTCAGAGAAGATACTTTTGTTCATGAGATGTGGCGAACTCATGTTGCTGTTTTCAAATATGAATATATAGTAAGTTTAGCTGATACTAAGTAAACTGCTGTTGCAGTTTTTCTCATACAACTAGCAATGACACTGCGTATGGCAGATTCTTGCGGCACTGATACTGGATTTACTAAGGTTCATGAAAAACACGTAAGATAAAATACAGGTATTGAAAAATAATCTTCGCTACATGATTTTAAGATTTTTTTTGAGGAAAGTACATGTTATCGTGTCAAAATTATTAAATGGCATCATTCTGTGATCTTGCTTAATTTATTAAATAGCCAAGTTGTTTGATGGTTTTCTGAATAGATGGCTAAAATTTGGTGTGGTTTACTTCTTTTTTTTTTCCTCTTCTATATTAAGGGTGTTTTGAAAAGGAGAGACCAAATTCAAGGCGAGCTCGACTCCAAAGTTGATGCTTTAGCCAATAAAAAGGCAGAAAAGGACCTGGTGAGTATGTCCAGAAAGGTGAAATCTTCCAGGCCTTATTCTAACTGCAGAAGATGATCCCCTGAAGAAAGCGTGTCCTCTGAAGCCATGCTTTCTCTATACTGGTGTCTCTATGATTCTCATAGTTATTCTGGAAAGGTTTGGTCTTTGCAGCTATGCATGTCGGGCAAAGGCAATCATGAGATAGATGCAAAACTTCAGTAGATAGGCTGCTGGAGCAAAGGACTGGTAATAGGAGGCGACCACTGTGTTTTGTTGACACAGACTGTACCGCGGCTTATTTTTAGCATTTCTGTTTACTTCCACACCGGGAATTAGAAGAAAGTAAGACTTGCTGCACTGCTCTTGTAGCTGCTGCTCCCTTGATGTAGGAGAGGGAGAGGAGGTGGTCAGAATGAGCAAAGCTGTTCATTAAACTTATTTAAAATACAAAGTGCTGGATTCTGTTCTTTCAGGTTTCTGTCTTACCTGGTTGGGCCCAGGGATATTTTTTTACTTCCAGCGTGGCGACACCATTCATACTAGTGAAGTCGGACCGTAACTGGTAGCCCATGGGCGTAGGCATGCCCAAACCCATCGGCGAGGCTCAGCGGGCCCATTAAAAGGAACTTCTGGGATGGGCATTGGCACTTTTAAAATTTTCGATTGTTTAACTCTCCAGCCTAAATAATGTCCTTTTAGCACAGTGTTAACACAAAGTGTTATACACTGTAAATAATGTATTAAAATGACTAAATAATAATCACTGTAACTTTTTAGTACATCAAAGGAGAAAGTCCTTGACATTTCAGATACTTTTTATTAGGGTTGTGGTAATTAGCTTTCATGTAAAGATGAGCTGTTTAGATAGTTTTTGGCACTTGAAATGCATATTTTTGTTTGATTTCTTGTCGCTGAGCTGAATAAATAAGAATATATTATCACTGTCTGATATCTACGATGGCTGTGGTATATTTTGTAGCAATTCGCCTCTGTGTACCGCAGTGGGACAGTAAGTAAATACCTCAGGTTTTGTTTTTTCCCGAAGTAGAAATCCTGTTTACTTATATCTTATACTGTCCTCTCATTTCCCTGCCTTCGTGTTCTCTAATCTGTTTTTGTTTCTCTACTTCCTCTGCCGCTTCTCCTGTCCTTTGTCCTTAGTTTACGCGTAAAGTTTGAAGCTGCTATAAAATGCACGGGGGACGGTAAGTTGGAGGAGCCCCCTAGGCTGGGAGTTGGGGTAGCAACGGCAGGTCCTAGTCCTCTGCTGGCGGCAGGCCACCGTATTCCCATGCCGCCTTGTGAGGGCACTGGCAGACCCGCTGCAGGCTCCTCCTGTAGCCTGCCCGTGTCCCCAGCACCCGCAGCCATGGGTGCCCCGCGTGCCGGCAGCACGCATTAGTTGCATTGCGTGTAAAAGCACGGTATATATTAAGAATGATCCTTATGGGTCCCTTCCAACTTGAGATATTCTATGATTCTATGATGCTAAGAATTTATTCTGACAGAAGGGAGTGTTACACGTCATTGCGCGAGTTATTTGTAGGCAGCTAGCTCTATCAACTTTTCAACGTTGCGTCCCTTTTAAGCAGTACTTCCCATTTGTATGGTTGGTTGGCAACCTGCTAAAAACAGTTGCATTTGCGCAGAGCGATCCAGCGATGAATTGCAATTTCCTACAGCTTGTTTAGCAGCTAGCGTTAATTGCTGTCCACCGTAGGGAAGGCAACGTTGCCTGGCAGGACATGGTCTTTTCAGAATGTATTTCTGTTATAATCTGATGGAGTCCTCAGACAAGGTGCATGCACTCTCTTTTCCTGAACTGTTACAGAAAAAAAGGAGTATTTTTCCCTTTAGCATAGTATTGATCACACCATGTTGATTTGATATTGACAATGGTTTACTCCATAATGGGATGTTCGTACTTGCTTCCAGTGAAGTTTTGAGATCAGTTTGCACAACCTCGTCTTTTTTCACTGTTTCTGTGTTTCCAAAACTGTGTTTACAGTTTTGGTAAAAGCCTTTGGACAGTGTGATTACCCAGGTGTTCAGATCTTTGCTTTATCTTTCCAACCCCTCTATTTCTTGCTTATTTCAAAAAATATTGTTTCTGAGAGCCTGATTCTCCTTGCAGTCTCACGAGAGCAGTAAAACAGATGTCTGTTAGTCTAATCTGATCATAAAATCCTGTGTTCTCTAATTGAGTGGCAGCTGTATCCTGTAGACTTTTTCTTAATTAGAAGTTGAAGACTTTTTCTATTAATGATAGTTTGGCCACAGAGAATGGTGTACTGCTATTTTTAACCATTCAAGTAACTTTTAACTGTTTTCTTAATCAGTTTTTTACTATGTTTTAATTTTCATTCTGTGTTGAAATATTTTGCTGACGCTTCTAACCAGACTGATTTCAGAATAAGTGGTGGTCACAACACGGGTACTGTTACTGGAATTGGTGTCAAACACTGAGTTTGGCTGTATTTGCACATTTCTATTCCTAAGCAGAACTCATGTAGCTTCTAATGATCTCATAGATGTCAGACTGAACTTGTCAGTGCAATCTAGTAGCCAGAAATTCTGCTGACAATGAGTGGCATGAACTCTAATCTCATTTGAAGTACATTTCCACCATAGATAAGGAATCTCAGACTGTCATTAGAGCTGATAAAAGGCTGTGAGTTCTTTAGCATTGGTCACGGCAAACATTAAATGATTTAACAAACAGGAGGTTATACAGCAGGAGAATACAAAACATCCCCAAGGTCAGTGCAGCTGAAATATAGGCTAGAATTGCAAATTAAACTTTACGAGATGTCAGGTTCATTGGCTGGGAAAAAATGTTTTCTTGAGCTGTGCTTCTGCCACCGGGCTTTTAGAAAGCTGCTTGTGGTGCTGCTTAAAAAGCCAAAACCTTGTCTCCCACTCCAAAATGTAGTCCACGAAGAAGGCAGTTGTTCAGGGTATGGAAGGTTTGAAGGCTGTGATTCTGGATGCAGGCTCTGACAGAGATATTCGGGAGGACTTTGGTGTCCTCCTGCTTATCTAGACCTTTCTTACCTCCAGAACTCTGGCTGTAAAGATGGAGTTTGTGGCTCCATTGCTCCCATGCTCCATTCCGAAGGCATACACAGCAATGCTAGTGCATCCCTCGGTGGTTTGGGAGTTTTTAACAGTTTTGGTACCGCCACTAGCGCTAACAGTAATTCTGACAAAAGGTTGGTATAATGTGCTCTGACAGAACCAGAGAAGCATTAAATGCTAACTTAAGGATTCTAGTGTTCAGGCTTGAAACTAAGTAGTAAAGAGATGAAATGATGAATCTATCACATTCTGAATATATCTTATGTTTTAGCTCCAGGCTAAAAAGGGTTAGTATAACCAAGCTGTAGGATTAATTCATGTAGCAGATAGATAGAAATTCGTGCTATTTTGCATATTGAGATAGTGTAAAATGCTGTGTCACTTACTAGGTAATTTGGCTATTGGGCCAAGTCTCTTTGGCTACAGGTCGCGCTGTTCATGTCTGGTAGCGCTCTGCCCTAGCAGTGTCTGGCTCCCACCTTCCCGTCCCGTGGTCCGGTGTCTGGTTAGCACTGCGCTGTCCTTCTCTGGGGATCGCTGACGTGAGATTTAATTTATCACGCTGGCTGCCTCAGTGAGATCAATCTAAGAAAATGGATTCAGAATCATACTTAATTTGCAGGATAAACTGTAACAATGTACACCTTGTAAATGAGGAGCACACTAGGTAGATGTTTTTGTCGAGACCAAGCCATTCTTCTTTGATTCCTGCTGTCATGGCAGCTGCAGAGGGTGGCATTTATGTTTCTTTTCAGTTGTGGCAAAGTCGATCTTAAACCTCTCTACTTGAGCTGATGAAGTGTGGCATAATGCTGTCTTTAGACCTTAAGTCCAACCCTTGCCTTGATACAACACACAGTTTCTTTTGGGCTTTAGAGGGTGATGTTTGAACCGCATATCCAGGCAGGGACGTAGAACAGAGTCTGCCTGTCCGCATCACGTTGTGACTACACCGTGGAAGAAATTCGTAGTTCCTAGAAAAGTCAAGACAAAAACAAACTGTAAAATAAATGTCTTAAAGATGTGAAGAATGAGATAAGGGGAAGCTGCTGCAGCCAGGACTTCTAAGTCGGCGAAGTTCTTTACGTGCGTAGCCTAGCTCATTCCCATATAGGGACTTTTTTCTTGCAAAAGCAGAAAATGGATTCAACTGCCTTTCCCACTCTAAATCGTCTAAAAATATTCAGTTTTCAGTATTCTGTATGCATTCATTTTTGGTATTTGAAGGAAAGGCAATTAACTTGGGACATGCCCAAGATACCGAATCCAGCTGCCTGTAATTCCTTTAAAGGTAATTTCCCCACATTTAAACTTTGGATTAACCTTTTCATATTGAATACAGTGCTGGTAGTTGAAATTACCCTTGTCCATAGTTTGATTACTGGTCTGGCTAGATAATTGAACATGGGCTTTTCAGTAAAGTAGAAATAATATTTTGCATTTTGTTCTTGAGTAATAACCAGTATTTCATTAATCTAGAAGTGTGGCAAGGAAAATCAGTGTAGAAATCAAGTCTAACTAAAAATGTTTATGCATCTGTGTATCGTGGAATGTGGAGAAAATCCATTCAGATGAAATTTTCGGTTTTACTAGCTAAGGAGTTTTTGGCCACTTTAAGAGCTGAAGGATTCTAGTATGTCAAACGGAGTTGGGATCCGTGGGTTGTGAATGAAGCGTTGGGCTCAGTTTCTGTGACCATTTCAGGCAGTGCTGCTTAGTTCATTTCTGGTGGCGGCAGCACTGCCGGCTGTTGCACTGGAACGCTGTCCTCCCTGCATGGTTCAAGCTGGAAAGCCAAGACCTTGCACCTCCTGCTCTGAATTTTGACATTTCTGCATTCTGCCAAGAGCCTAAGGATTCCTTGGAAATCCTGGAAGTTAATCCTGGAATCCTGAAGTTCATATCAATGAAAGCACCGGCTCTGCAGAGAGCACGAGGAGCTATCCAACTTTATAGGGGTGTTGTATGAGGAAAAAACAATTTGCCTGACAGCAGAATACAAGGAAGAAGAGGAAGGTGTACGGGACCTGAGTTGCAATGGAAACAATACAAGGAGGTTAACTTTTCCTGCTCGATGTCCCTCACTGGTGGTGTTTCTGCCTGACCTCCCTCCCGCTGCAGGCAGTCGCTGTGCGGTCCCAGCAGATGAATTTGCACTGTAGCTGCGGAAGACGTACCTCCTTCTGTGACTGGGTGCCAGCCAGAACCGACACAGCTGATTAGTAAATGACAATAGGCGACAAAATTATTGAGAAGACTGGAAGACTCATTAAAGAGAGGGCCTTTGTCCACTTACTCATTCCCATTAGCTGAAAAGTCACTTTGTGCATCTACAGTAACTAGAAGAAAATAACGTCTGTAGAGTAGCCCTCAAGGTTTTTGATCCTAGATCGCTGTGAAAGTTTCTTCTCTGCAGAAGTCCTCTGGTTTAATTTCTTTCTCTGCTTCTGTATTTCTCTCTCCCTCACGTGGTCACACAGAGGTTAGTTCCACAAAAAATATTGCCAGGTGACAGGCAAGAAATCAGAAAGTTTGTGCTTTTGATTCCCGCTGTCTTCTCCCCATTCTGGTTTCTCCTGAGGTTATCAAAGGTTCTGTCAGGGTTTTCTCAGTTTTTCTGGCCAAATCTAATTTGTATAGTTCATTCTGCTTCAGTAAAGCCCTCTGTATTTTCCTTTTTAGGTGCATTACTGTCAAGTGCTAGTGAAGAGGTGCCAGAGTCTGTAACTGCTCAGTCAATAAAAATATCTTCAGGAACACTTCAATTTTGGTCTAGAATTTCTGTTATCAATATTCCAGAAATTGTACCGAGTTACTCATTAAGAATAAAATTTAAATTTGTCCCTGGGGAATGATATTCTGTGCTAAGTTAAATACCAACCTTGGTTCTGCAGTTCTGTTTGCCTGCACTACAATCACTTGGTTTCAATCACTTTTGAAATGATGACTTGACTAATACTTTTTAACGTTTACAATTCACGTTTAGTTCTCAGAAGAGATTGGGAAACTTGAAGACAAAGTCGAATGTGCCAATAACGCTCTGAAAGCGGATTGGGACAGGTGGAAGCAAAACATGCAGTGTGATATGAGATCAACGTTCACTAATGTGGCTGAGAATAATCTCCGTTATTATGAAGAGGTAAAACACTTTCTCACAGCAATGTTATTTTTTCATTGATTATTTCAGTGGGGAAGTCCATGGGTTGTCTGTAAAGAGGAACTTTTGCATTTTAGTTCAAACCTGTGTTAACTTCAGAATCGGTTTTTGCGGGAAGAGGGAGGCAGTTATCCTTAATTTGACACGTTTCAAGCAAAACGTATTTTATTTGTGCCCAAGTGGTTGATCCCGAGTTCATCATCGACAGAGGGCACTCTTGTTTTACTAACCACAACAATTTGGAACACATTTTTCAGTTCAATGTCAGCTGCTATATTTCAGTTTGGAAACCTTTTGCTGTAACTGCATGAAGAAGCCCTCTGGAAAGCTCAAACTTGCGTAAATGATCTTGTATGAGGGAAACGTTTAAATGTGATTCCATTTCAGACAGCACATTCAGGAAGCCCTCGTTGTTATTTCTCTAAGGAATTGTCTTTCGTGAAATAATCAGACTTTACAAGGATAAAGAACAACAATACAATTTTGAGAAGTCAATAGGAAAAGCTTATTGCAATTATTAAAAAAATACAAATGCGGCAAGTGTATACAATCAATAAATTGAATCCTTTTAGAATTGAAACTTACTACTTCAGAAAGAAAGTGGTTGAAATTAGATTTTTATTTTCAACTCAAATGCCACGGCTAATATTCTTGGTAAGAATTCCCTTTTACAAGAATATATACTAAGAAAGAGAACTTGAAAACATATAACAAAATATATGAAGCATTCTGTGAAGTTTCTTCATGGGGAACATGTCGTTGATTGAAATGCGCATTTTGACAATATCCCAGATGTCTTGAATTTTTTTAAAGAATTTCTCCTTATTTTGGGGAAAAAATTGCAATACACTAAGCCATCTATTAAACATAAATTAGTAATTTTTACAGATACACGTTGACATCTGTAACTTCCCATCCTGTATTTTGAACTCTTTATGGATTGCCCGTTAGCCAATGACAGTGTCCTGATTTTACAAATCATTTTGTTAAAACATAATTGAAAAGACAGAGCTCTTGATCATCAAGTCTAATTAATTAACATACAGTCTGTGAGATGCACGGACATTAACAATCTGTTGTTACATATTAAGATCAAAATATTTTCTGAAATCAGGCAGCAAGCTTTTGGCATCCTCTCACATTTTCTTCAGTTATTGATGATCTCTGACTTCTATATTAGCAATACATATGTTAAAACGATGCTAAATATATTGGAATATTTTGTTAACGAATGATTAGCTAAATTAAAACACAAAAATAATTCTTTGGTTCTCTTTCCTGTCTAGAAATGCTTTTTGCTGAATTAGAATTTTAATTCAGAACGCCAAAGCTCATACTGCACACGAAATTACTATCATTAAGTCACAAACTGCAGAAAATGGTTCAACTATCGCTGCAACTGCCAGTGGTTCTTCTTAAATAGCCTCTGAAATAGTGGACAAATTGGTTTATACTGAGACATTATTCTTTGTTGGTGCTTTTCTTGAATATTGAAATCTGCATAAAATGTTTTTGCTGTTATTTCTCGGTAGATCTAGATTTTAGAAAAAAATACCTTATCTTACTGCAGAAGTTGCAGTAACAGAAAACATTGTGCTAACTGTATCACTCCTTGTTTGCAAAGTGAGGACGTAGCAATTTTTTTCTGTTTTATCAGAAAATCGTTATCTTAATCCTGACGTTCACGAGAACTCGATAAAATTAATATTAGATTGGGAGTTTTGATCTAAAATATGCATGTTTATTTGAGACCTGTGGTTAATGCTGACGGTTAATTATCAGAGAAGTGATTCCTGTCAGAGGCCCTTATATTACAAACTACAGGTGCGTAGTGCACTCCTGAAAACAGCAGAAGAAGAAGGCCTAGCATCTGCTTTCGCTCTGTGGAAGTGAACTTCGGGAAGGGCATCTCAGAAACCTGAGAATCAGAATATGATTTTTATGCTTTCAGTAGAGAACAAAATCCTACCCTAAAGATAATAGTTTGAGCCTTACTCATTAAACTCGTGCACACACACAGTGCCTGCTACCGCGTTTTTCACTTGTTCAGTCTTTACTTGAATCATTAATGTTCTCTCACATGTCCAAAGTTAAATTATTCGTTCATGCTTTTGATGCACCATTTGCTGCTTACTAAGCCTTTTCTTCTTGTAGTATCCCTCATCTTATTTCTTGCCTTTTTTCCCCCCAGAGCATGTTCTGTGCATGCTCCCAGGCACCATGGATGCCATGGACATGGTTCAGTTGCCCAGCTCTTCTGTCCATCTCCTGTGAGGAATCATCTCCTGCTTTCTAATTCAGTCACTACCTGCTTCTCCTCCTTTCCACAGCTTCCCCCCCCCCAGTTCAACTCCTATTCTTGCCTCTCCATGAGCGGTGTCCCATTCCCTTCTCTACAGCAGCGTTTCACTGCGCTCCTCATTATTCCCCAGTCTTGCCGACTTCATTTCCCAGGCGCACAACCTAACCAGGAGTCATTCCTGTTAGTGGCCATTCTCTGCATCCCTTCTATTTCTGAGAACCACAGAGTAACCAGAGACAGACTTCTCATGCTTTCTGGTGGCTTTTGCAGTAGAGAATCCAGTCCTTCAGGACTGTATAAAACTAAAGGCAGTGAGATCAAGTACAACGTAGCCATGTGTCAAAGTACACTAGAATTTCCAAAATGTTATTTCCTCTTTGTCACAATATGGGGAAAGAGTCTGACCTTCCATTTGTTTGGATTTTTCCTTAATTGTAGTTGCCTAAACATTCTGCTGTCAGCTTGTCAAGCATCACTTAGCTAGCATAAAAGAGTATGTCTCCCTTAAGCTGAATTAAAGTTCACGTTACATGAAGTGCTACTTTAAAGTGTTACCTGTAATTATATTTCTCCGGATTTACTAATTCAAAACAAGTAGAGGTATTTCTGTGGCCTTCCAGCTTATTGACTATCTACATTTAATATAATTGAATAAGAAGTGTGCCTTTGTTTCTACAGCTGTGGAATCGCCAATCTCTTTGTGTCTCTCAATGCTGTGGTAACAAAGACACTAATTAAAGCCCAGTGATGCAAATTTACAGGATGCTGCTATGCAGACCTGTGAGAATGAAGGCTTTCCTGTGATAATGTACAAGCTATGTTATAATACGTTTAAATATAACATCATTTGGTAGCCAAGAATTACCATGGCTGAGCAATCATTTGGTATTCCTGTAGCTGGTCTCAAGAGTTCATAGAGTTGTCGACTTCCTTTACTTTGCTTCTGGAAAAGAGCTGAATACGTGCTTAAGTCTCTCTGTATTCCACAAGGGCTTAAAGCCAATAACATAATGTATTAATAACGACTGCGAGTGCATTGCTATTCTGAAACAATATGAAAAGGTTTTAATTTTTAAAAATTCAGAACTTTACTCCTATTTCTGAAGTAGATACAGCATCGATTCGTTTGCCTTACAGAGAAAAGTTCTTGAATGAAGTATGTGTTAACACCGTACTATTTATTTGATTCCTTTTCCCCATGCCTTAGGTGTGACACTGTGGTCTGAAATAGCACACCTTAGTCCAGAAGAGGTATCTGCCAAACAGGTGAAATCACAAACTGTCCACAGGGTGGAGCTTACAGCTGAGGAAGCTGATTGTCACCAGGAGTATTGTCATTAAGTTAGGTATAGACATCCTGCAGACCCCTAAAGATGCAGCATTACTAAAACCAAAACAAGACACAAAGTTAGTGGTGGTGGTGGTGGTATTGTTATTTAGCCAGCATGTCTGACGTGTTCCTGGTACAAATTAGCAAAACCAAACCAGGCAATGTTGAACTCTGCCTTCAAAGAGCAATTGAACATTTACTAAGTTTTTCCCTTTTGTTTTTCTCATGTGTTTACTATAGTCTCTAGGATATTTACAGCATCAAAGCAAAAGGAACGCTTCAGTTTTTCTCAGCAAAGAACTTTCTTAACCTATTCTGTTCAGAAAAAACACTGGAATAAGTGGCTAGATTTTGCAGCCCGATCCAAAGACTAGTTAGACATTATAAATCCAGCAAATACAGCAGAGTTTGGTTTTCCACTGCTCATGAAGCACTCTAGTAAATGCAGGAAGACTGGGGTTTTTTTCATGATGTAGGATGATATTGAATTAGTTTTGGCATTGAAATAACATTTTTTTCTTGTGCATGGATGAGCATGTTTTAAAGCGTAGCCTCTCATTTTATTTTTCTCATGTCAAACTAATCCCGTTAAACCTTTGCAGCTTAATCAGATAAAAAGCTAAAGTTATCTTTGATATAGTGAGATTCTTGTTGGTATTGACACAGCTTACTCTTATCCAAAAATATAAATAATTTCCTGATTTTCTTAACTATTTCAAGCGTAATTTAGTTTACTTCTGTGACCTACGTTGTTGTACAGGCATAAATCGATCCAAAAGATTCATTAGGGCAAAACAATACTCCTTCCCCATTACAGCAGCTTCCCTCTAGCTCCAAAGCCCTTATGTACCTCTCTCTCTAGTGTAAGCTGTAGAAAAATAGATGAGATTTGTTGTTTGCCCTGGAGGCCTCTGTAGTGATGCATTTAGCTAGTCATTTGGTTGCGTAGCAAAAAGTTAGGTGCTCGTGCATGTTGATCACGTCCTGCCTTAGCAAAGCCTGGGAATTTAGCTAACAAACTCCATCTGATTTTCAAAAGCACCCACATGGCTGAGCCAGTTTGTCCCTGTGCACGTCATTTCAAAGCCAGGATCCATCTTTGAACCCTCATTCACTTCAACCGTAAAAATGTCTTTTAAATACTTTTCGGAAGACATTTTTGTATAGTGGGAATCACGATTTCTACTCACTCTAGTTTTTGTTTCCTTGCACCCAGAAACTACGAAAGTATTTTTTTCCTCTCTCTCTCAGACACGCACAAGACTTCATTTGCAGATCCTACTCCAGAAAATGCCATCATAAGTGATATTTTTAAGGTATCAACCATGGAAAACAGGGAACTGGCACAGAAACACACATGGCATGTGACACACTGCTGCTGTTATCATCCCTGCTACACGTTCTATTTTTATATCTCCTTTTTAGTTCGATATGCAGTTGTACTATAGGAAAACCTTTTTTGCTGTTTTTTTCTAAGAATGATATTGCAGGATAGATGTGTGACCTGCAGCAGTAATCAGAATATTTTAGGTAAAGTAACCTTATTTAAGGTCTTGCTATCTCATTTTGTGTATTTAGGCTTTTTTATGTCTTCCGCCAGGCTTTTACAAGTAATTGGATTATGAATTTCAATCCTATGCATGCACATTTAATTTCCTGGGTTTGGTTTTTCTTTTTTTTCCCCTTTCAGTCTCCTTTGTGAAAGCTGGCTGATCCTCTGTTAGATCTCCGTTCTCAACCTCCCAGGAGAATGAAGTAAAATCATTCTGTAATAATGTTGAAGTATACATCACTAACGAAATGTCGTCTATGCAGTTCATGCTTCACAATACAAAAAGCCTGAGCCTAAGGCAGAGAGACCTAGTTTTGTTTTGGTATGGTTAATTATAAAACTTGTCGGCTGTAGCGGCACTGTGATGTCTGACAGTGGAATGAGCCACCATTGCTCTTGCATTTTGGAAAATGTGTTTCGGTTATATAAAGGAGGATAAATTAAAACCTGAATAACTTGTGTAACTGAAAAAAATGCTTTGCATTCTTGTCTGGAAAGACTTCAGTAGATTGTATCTATCTGGTTAAGCAACATACTGTGATTGCATTTTAACACGTGCAGTTTGGCTCAGTGTTGCAAAGATAACAGAAAGCCATTTTTACATTCCAGCCAGTGCTGATACACATATTTTAATTCACATTACTGAAATTACAGAATGACAAAGCATGGAGTTACATGGTATAAATTAAACCGTGATGCAGAAGAAAACCATCAGTCATTGTCAACAAAAGACTCTTCAAGAAACAGTCATCATTTCTTGTCCCACACCTAGAAAAAGCCTAGGAAAACAGATGTGCCTTGCAGCTTTCTAGGATGGTAATCCAGGCTGGGCTCTAGCAGACAGGTATCTGAGTCCGAGCGCCACAGTGAAGACACATTGCTAGCAGCTGCCTCACTGGCGTTTTAAAACCAAGATGCCACCTTCCAGCTCAAGCATCTCGGATAGACTCAGCTGCCAGTGTCACGTGACGTAGGGGAGAATCTAATGATCGGAGCTTAAAGGCTTTATACAAAAGGTCAAAAAGACCTTTTAAGTCAGAAATCAGTTTGCAATTCACTGTTCATGCTAGCGCTATTTGCACCGTTTCTCCCCGATTTTATATTTAGCATTTCAAAATAACATTTCTCCACAAAGTCAATGAAGAAAGCAGATTTCCACATGAATCTTATCCTGTTATTCCTCTCTTTTCACAGGAATTCAAACCTTAGATGTGCTCTGAACAGCAGCATGATGTTGTTGTGTGCAAAAGCAGCAGAAGTTAGTTGGGGATTTTGTCAGCAAGATCAGAAAAGAAAGACTGGGGGAGTAGATTCATGGTTTCCATAGTCTAGGGGACAATATACGAATAACAGGAACAGTCTCTTAACATGCCTGAAAACGACCAAAAACCTATGCAGACATAAGCTCCCGCATACTTTTTTCTTTGTGATCTCTTAGGTCAGTCGGCTGTTTTAACCTCTCCCATTTTCTTGCAGACCCGCGTCTTCTACTTTTTTATGTCTTCAGAGACATAATCGCTGCTGACTTTTGTTTGTTTTTTCTTGTTTCTTTTGTCACCCATAATTTTACGGGTATCCCTGGTTCTGCGTCCTTGTGCCATCATGGATTCCCCCAACTCCGGTCACCCTGTGTGTCTTCTTCATTTTGCTCTTTGAGCTTATACTTCAACATTATTCATGACTATCAGATCCTCCCACTCGTCCGCTTGCACACAGATATGCAGTAATACCAGGACCTAGGCTCTTTAATGTAATATGATTAAATCTGCACATTTAATGGCAGAGTTTTGAAGTCATTCACTAGAAACGTCTAATAAGACAGCGTTAGGTGGCTGTAAGTTCAAGCAGCATGAACGCTAGCGTGTATTTTCCATGTCTCCTAAGCAATGACAGACGGATGCTAGATGCTTCATTGTAGCTGGGCATAGCAAATTGCTGTGGCTTGAATAGCTTATGGCAAGTTTTCACTTAGGAAACGATGCTGTTTTCAGGGTACTGATTTAATTCAAAGTCCAGATAAATGGAGCATGCTGTCCAGGTTTTAATGTAAAAGCAGATATTTCCTGAGAAATTTCAGAAGACTTATTTATAATGAATACTTCAGATTCTTCATGAAAAAAACTGTACTAAGTAAGCTGTGTTGTCAAGAGCAATAGGAATGAGTGTATAAGTCGAAATTTTATTAGAACGTTTCCATTTTAAGGTGGTTTTTTTTATTAGAACGTTTCCATTTTAAGGTGGGGGGTTTTTTTTCAGTCGCATCAAAACAATAAAATTATTGCATGACTTTGCCTGCCCTGTTCTAATGACAGACTTGAAATAGTAGAAACCTGGTACTTCGGGTAACAAGCATCAGCACACCACGGGTTACCTAGTGAGAGCCTTGCCATGACTCTCAACACTAATCTATGATTTACAATGGTTTGCCAAGCTGCCAACACTCATTTAAGCCAAATTGAACCAAAGTAATTTAGGGATTTTTTTTTTTTTTTTGTCTCCATTTTACTGCCTACAGTCCTGGTGCTTCAAATTAAAAAATTAGTTTGTACGATTATAAATACATTTTTCCATGAGGAGAGAAATGCCACTTTTTGTAAGGATGACAATTTCCCCACCTCCCCACCGCCTGCCTTTCTGGTCCCATTTCTTTCCCATTACTCAGGGGAAAAATGAATTCTGTGTGTGTTTAGAAAAAAACTGATTTAATTTAACTTGGAAAGAAAATTAGGTATACAATAGGAATCCACAGAGATTACAAGGGAACCGTGCCTGACAGCGCGCTATTTGGAAGGGATCTTTGCCGGTAACTAAAGGGAGAGATTAAAGAAGAGCATAATTAATGTTAGCATCTTCCATGCTAACACATACAATTACGATGCTCACACTGTGCGCTTGTCATTATGTAAAAGTGACCTTTACAGCTCGCTCAGCATGTTGGCTAACATTTTGCATATCACTGAGCTGCCTAGGAAACCATATTTTGCTCTTACCATAGTCCCACAAAAGCAGCTTGTGACAATGCGTATGTATTCTGCTTTTTTTTTTTTTTCCCTTCTTTTTCTCCTTGGCTACCAGTTTTACAGAAATCTGTCTGCTATATTCATATGTATCTGTGGTTTTTTTTAAAGTGCCTTGCTACATGGGAGTCCTTCCTAGCATCTCAAACAGTGGATCTTCACGTGGAAGAAGATTCTGAAGACAGGCCTTGAGTAATATCTCTGCTCGATCTCTGCCTTTTCTCTGCAGTTTCTCCCAACCAAAGAAGTGCTTTATACAAGATCAGATACATTATTAAATTTAACTGTTAATAATCAGTGAAATGCAGGAAACCAGCTTATTGAAAACTCAGGTATTCTAGTCCTGAAATATGTTTTGGAACATGCTATAAATTGCTTTATATTGCTTAGCTGTGATTTTACATATTTTTATGCAAGTGTTTGCATACAATTGTTTTCATAAATATTGCATAATTTGGATATAAAGTATTTTAAATATGTACAAATAGCTCCATTTTAATAAAAAGTTTAATAAGGAAAGCTTGTCTTCATTCTGTATCCTAGTCTTTGAGAAGTATTTTGGTGTTTTAGCATGCTTGTTATATTCTCTTTGTTGAGTAATTTCCTGTACTTGTAAAATTACCTACCGTAGTCTTTGGGGAGCTCTTTAGGATTATTTTAATGGATTGTGCTAGTCACCCGATGGCAACGTGGTACGGAAAGATGCCGAACATGTTCTGCGAGATTAGTGCTGCTTTAAAGTACTGTTAATTCAGTTTTCAGTTTGCAGTATTTACATGTCTATTAAACATCTTCAATTCGGCATTTTTTAAAGGATGAAGAAAAAACTGACAGTTCATGAAACAGACTGTTTCTACAGTGGTACAACGGTAGTCGCAGCACTGGTCCTGCCAACACGAGAGCCTCCATTTGGAGTTTGCAGGATCAACCCTGTTACTCGCATGGCTGATCCTCCTGTAATCCTTAACTTCCTCCCTCTTTGGATAGCCAGCGTGGAAGGGAAAGGACAAGAGCGTTTTGCATTAAAATTATTAGCTCGTTCACTCATGCAACATACATTAAAGTGTTCCAGTCATTGAATTATTCCACCCAAAGGGCTGTCGGTCTAGCACTTGTAATTCCTGCAGTTGTTCTCCCTGGTGGTGAAGGTCCGAGCAAGCCTAAGTCTGAATATGGAAAGAATGAGGTGCAGGAACTGGAGACAGCCGAACCGCAGTTCCGGCCTCGCAGAACGGCAGGGCTTCAGCCTCACCTTCACCTTTTGCGGTGGTAATTTGTGAGCTTGCTCTTGTCAGTCACCTAATGGCTGCGGGGGAGTTTCTGAGCACGGGGCTGCACTTGGGTGGCTGTGGACCTGTCCAAGCTGGACGAGTCATTTTGTGGCTTTGACCTTAAGAAATTTAGGTTGCAAGTGAGACCTGGAATACCAGCACGGCCTTTTCAGCAATGCGAGGAAGACTGCTCTCAAGCTGCCCCCAGGAAGTATTAACGAAAGCTCAGCAGGTTGGGGTTTATTCAGCTGTAAAATAGCAGTTAAGATGCTTCTGAAATACTGCGGGAAGCATGCCTCTCTCCCACCTTGGACAATTGACAGACGAGAGGCGAGTCCGTGTCGGGAGGAAGGCGGTGCGGTGCCGAAGGGCTGCGCCGCGCAGCGTCCTCTCCAGCAGTGCTGGCAGCGGGCGCTCGCAGGAGGCAGGGAAGAACAACACGGCTGGTCTACGCTCTTTTCCCATTGTATCCTTCCCACTGATTATTTTTTTTTTTAACATCAGAGCTTCTATCAATGCGCTTAATAGCCCTTAATGCCTTTCCCTGTGCTTTATTTTCTTTTTTTCCATCTAAATTTTTAGTATTTACCGTGCTGAATATCAATGGATTCCACAATTTAATTTGCAGGAAAAATCGATTCATTTTGTGATTTCCTAAACCAGCTACCCAATAATTTCAGGTAATGCCCTCTGCCTCTTAGCTTCTGAGAAGAGATGAACAATTGTTTCCTATTTGTCTTCCCTGTGCTGCTCAAGAATTTACAAACCTCTAGTGTGTCTTCCAAGCGCTGCCTCTTTTCCCAGAGGAAAAGCCGTAGCTTAATATCGTCTTGTACAAAAGGCATTTCACATCTGTGCTCATTGTTACTGCTTTTCTCTATATTTTCTAGTTCTGCTGCAACCGGTGTTCAAAATGCAGGCACACCAGAAACGTACATCTTGTCATAATTACGCTTTGATTTTTTTCATCATTCTTTCCTACTAATTCCTAATCTATTTTTTAAAGTACCACTGAGTGCTGAGCTGCCATTCCATAGAACTGTCCACTAACATTAAGAGCTATTCTGAAGGTTACTAAATAATTTAATTTCCATCGGTGTGTATATATAGGAGAATTGGCTTTTCCCCAGTGAGCATTAATTTGCATTTATTAAGACTCAATTTTGCCTGCTGTTTTTAGCTCCTAATCTCTCAGTAGTGTACGGTCCTATAAACAGGATTCCAACAAGATAGGCAGCAGTAACACTCTGAATACCAGATAAGCGAAAGTTCAAGAAACTGAGCTTTAACAGGCTTACCTGGAAGGATATGACTGTTTAAGTGTAACCAAAAATTAAATACCGTGCCTCTAATCTAGGTTCCTCTAAGCAAATGTGATGTCTGGTTAGCTGAGACGGGGAATGCCAGCGTGCGTTGCATTGATTTTACCTCTATGTTCTGCCGGAGCAGAAAGCTGCTCTCCGAGGTGTTTGGAAATCAGAAGCACCATCGGAGATTTTGCATCCTTGGTAAAACCGAGGGCTGTGGTTCATTATGTTCATGATTTATTTTTAATTTCTTTTCCTCTTTAGCTAGGCCATAACTTATGGGGGGAAAGACTTTAGTCATCAGTTATATAGAGGCTTTCTTGTGACCATGTTGTTGTTTTTCTGATTTTCTAGTAGCACTATCATGCAAAACCAAGGTCTATTGTTACGTACAATCAAACATTGTCCTTTTTGTGTCGTGCAAATACTTCTGAAACTTACAATTTTGGAAGGTCTATTGTGTATTCAGACCTCTTTCCAAAGATTTTTCTTTGATGGAGCCTCACCTTCCCTAGACTAATGCTTAGAAAGTGCTTAAACTATTCGATTACTCAAAACCAATCTGCCTGTCCTTACTGGATTTTCTTTCTGCTGTTTTCAGATAGCTTTGTGCAGCTTATTAGAGCCCAACCACTTTAAATAATTCCTGAAGTGCCAGAAGTCTGACTAGGAATTCAACTTCCAGCTGCTTAGAGCTAAGAGCTTCTGCCCCGAGGCCTCGACTTCCTTCGGCAGATTTGCAGACTGAAATTAAACACTTCAAAGGCAAATCTGATCTTCAAGAGAAGAAACCAGTGTAAAAATGGTGTCACGATTTAGTGTGTCTGTCTGCAGAGAGCATGAAACAACAGCTCTGAGTGGTAGATTCCCATCCAGGTCTGTGAGGGTTTTGTTCTCAAATTTAGGTGAAGTCACTTTAAAAACATTAGTGTTTCACTGTAAAATAGAAAATTCAAAGTGCACCTGCAGTTTCCTAGCTAGATAATCGCCACCTGTAGAATACGGAACCGGCACAGCTTATCACCTTCCTCGGGCAGCCAGAGACAACGTGACCGAGTGTGTTTCCTTGGCCCAACAACTCCGTTTTTTCGCAGTGACGCCCTTGCTGCCCAGCGTCAGAGACGGGACCATTGGCCGGTGGTCGCGAGTTACTGGTCAAACACTTGCGAAGTGCCCATTACAGCATTCTGAATTTATGTCCAGGTACTTTGAAAGCGCAAGGCGAATCTGAATTTATGTCCAGGTACTTTGAAAGCACAAGGCGAATAAATATTTAAAAATTTAAATATTAAATATTAAATATTAAATATTTAAAAGAAAGAAGAGAGGCCTCCTTTTGCTCAGAGTTCAGCGCGCAAACCCCAGCTCCTGGCTAACCACAGCCAGCTTCCTCAGAGAGAAGTGTGATCGCACAGTTTGCGGGGCTGCAAGGTTTAGTCATCGTGGTCCGTGTCTTGACCGTAAGGAGGAAACGATTCCAAGACAGAAGAAAAGGTCAGTTTTTGAGAACGTGCTGCCTCTTTATATCTTAGTGGTTCATACCTAGGGCCTGTAAACAATGCATTTCTCTCTCGTGTTAGACTGAAAACACACACAAAGACAAGAACAAAAAGCTGTCACCAGTGCAAATTGCCAGTAATAAAGGTAAAACAGAGATGGCTTGTACAGGTAAGACATCAGTGGCTCTAAGCGCTGAATGGTTTTAAACGGTTGCCTGGTGCAGGCTCCGTCGCTTGACAAGCTGCAAGTGATCTGCGGCAAGACACATGTCCAGAGAAAAAGGAAACGGGCTTAAAAAAAGAGCCGCTGACCCCTGCTGCTGTCAGCCTGCACCCAAAGTAGTGACTTTTCAAAAAGATTTGGGCTTTACATATTGAAATTCTTTCATTTGCCTGATAGCTATGGGCAGGATTTCACTGATAGCGTCACTAAAATAAGGATAATGCTGGCATGAATTAATCATGAAACCAACCTTCCAGCAGGAGCTCTGCAGGCCAGGAGGAATATCAAGGGGTTTTCTTTCATATGCCCAACTCACACTTTAATATTACATGTCAGCGCTGCCCACTATATTGCACGAACAATATAGCAGCTTAGCGAAAAATGGATGAGGGCAGAGGTGTATGTAATAGGCCCCTCTGATTATGTTTTAAGTTTACTCAAAGAAAATGGCTAAATAAACCTTTTCTGACAAATGGAGGAGCTCCCACCTGGTAGGTGGTGGGGCTGACTCGAGTGACTAGAGGATCAAATTGTACAGCCTCAGCAGAAAGCACCTGGGCAGCAAAACACTCACAAAGCACTGCCCAGCTTTGAAGCTTTTACTGCGTGAACCAGTTATGAACTGTTGATTGGTTTTCTGTTGCCTTGACTCTAGCCCTGCCATCATCCCGGAGAGAGAAAAGCCTTATCTAAGCGATCCCACAGAGGCAGCTTATTGAATATAGCGTGAATAACAGAAATGTTGGCCAACAAACTGAACCTGAAACCCCTTCAAGAAACCTACTGTGTGGCTCTTCCAAGCTGCGCCACCGTTTGGTTGCAGCCCCCCTGTTGGCAGTGGCTCAGCCTTGCTGGGAGGAACAGAGAGGCGACAGCTCATCCGAACCTGAAAGGGACAGCCACAAACCTTCAGGGGATTTGGGAGGTTTTGGGGACCTGAAAAGCGAAGGTTCATCCTCTTTTAGGTAAGATACACAATTAAAGAAATGCAGAACTGTAAAAGGATGTCCTTGTTTAAAATGCAATTGGAAAAATGATCAAAAAACATTGTATTAGTTTTCCTAGAGGGCAAAAGCCATACTTTGAGGTTTAAAATTTTTGATCTAGACTGCCATGACACTGAGTTTTCAGCAGGAATAATTCCTGTGATAACTGTATTGCTTAGAAGGTTAGTTAAGGAATAAGCATTATTATGTCTGCATTAATAATTAACCAAGAGTTGCCAGTAAGCCATTAACTGTCAAAGCCAAACTAAGAAACTTCCTTGGAATCAAGGCAACGTTGATTACGTGGCGTGGGGAAGATTCACTGTTCTTTAAGTAATCGTTATAATGCTATGTCAGCTTAAAGAGCAATTGAATTGCCTTTTTGAATTAACTTCTTTAATAAAAAAATAAGTGGTTGCAATGTTATAATGTGATTTATTTTTTTTACGGAAGTAAAGCATCTCACCGGGCTCTTTTGCAAATGAAAAGAAATAAGATGTTTATTTCTTTTTATTTGTGCTCTGGAATTGTATTCATTTAAATAATAAATTAAGCTTTCACCAGGAGGTAAAAAAAACAGTATGTAAAATGAGAGCTGAGCAAGAAGCTCCATACGTGTACAACTATCACAAAGCTCCTTCCTTCTAAGTGGAGAACTGGTTTTTCACTCGGGTGCTGCATTATTTGCCTGTTGGGTTAGAAGACAAAGCCAGAGTTGCCCTGAACATCTGCACCTCCTGCCCAGGAGCCCTAGGAATTGCTTGGGCTCCACAAAGCTGGTAATGAGCCCTTCAGGCCGGCAGGGACTACCTAAACGGGAGCAGCTCATTGAAGTTTCAGAATCGCTAATGCTTTTTCATCTCTTTTTACAGCT